ACTATTTTGCCCAGCACCATCTTTAATTGTGGCCTATGCATGTGTGTGAGAAAATGCTTCTGATGTATTGAGGCTGTAACTGATTTATGTTTGTTTTGCAGAGGACAGCTGTAAATGAGCTTTGTAGTCTTTCTGCAAAGGAGCTTCCTGAAAATAGCCTCTTCTGCTTTTGTTAATTGGCCTTGATCTAATATTGACTCCCATTGTCTCTCAGGCAGAAAATGGACAAACTAAGTGACTATTGTTCAATCTGGAGAAGGTCCAGGATTGAAATGTGAGATGTGAAGTAAGCACAGCTGCTTTTTAGTCTGTGCGCACATCCTGGATGAAGTATGAGGCCCCAGGAGAAAATAAAGCCCCTGTCTCATTGTGTTTAACAGCAGTACACAGTTGGGTTCTGTCTCATGCTAGGCCCTGGGAGAAAATAAAGCCCCTGTCTCACTGTGTTTAACAGCAGTACACAGTTGGGTTCTGTCTCATGCAGTTTCTCTTCTACATCCCTATGCTCAAGGTGTAACTGCCGTCAAGAGTTAGCACAGATGCTGACTGGGGATGCAGCACTCTGTTCTCCCCAGGATAAATGGTATTTTGGAAATAGTTTCCAGCACTCACCCACTTCCTAACTGGTATCTACTCACTGGATAATGCAGTACTCTTAAAGTGATGTCAGAGGAACAAATGCATTATTGCTAATAAGCAAGAAAGTGACAAGAAGGTTCTAACCTGTGCTGTTTTGGTATCTGAAGAATTAAATCTTATATGAAATTAAAGACTGTGACTGTTTTTGACTTGGTGAGGCAATGGGTGGGTTGGGAGAGGAGTTTGGAGAATCAATTCCATTTAATAAAGGAATTTGCCCTATGTCAGATGCCCAGCTTTTGAAGGCCAAAGAATCCTGGCCCCACTGAAATGAATGGAAGTTTTGTTACTGACTTCTATGGGGACAAAATAGAATCTGGAGTGCAGCTGAGATATTGCTTGCATTTGAGATGGTGGGCATAGAAATGCCAAATCAGTGCTTCCCCATGCTGCCTTACTTATCTGACTAAGTAGATCTCCTGTGTACAGGAATTAAAACTCATGTCCTGTAAAGAGCTGAGTCTCTCCTGGGAGAAGCTGAAAATCAGCACTGAGGGCATCAAAGTCATCGGATGCCAAAGTCTCACAGCATCAATTCAGTTCAGTCTCAAAGTGCTTATAGCAGATTCCAGATTGATTACATTTGGATTACTCCTGTGAGTGAAAGTTGCAGAGAATATTGGGTCCCAATGTGGGAAGGTGAAAAAGCGGTGTAAGTGTGGTACTCCCCAAAATGAACTAGTGGGTGGGGATGGGCAGAACTCTTTGGACCTGAGATGTAGGTGGAAGCATGCTGCATCTTAACGGATTGCTCACCTCCCATCCAGTGGGAAAAGCAAGTTCTGTCTGGTGGGTAGGAAGTAGAACTGTATCAACTACAGCTCAGGCTAGTACTAAGTACAATGGAACATATCTTTTGTGAGTCTGAAACCAGGAGAAAAATTTAACTGACCCAAGCAAACCCTGGGATATTAAAAGTTGGGCTGTCAACTAGCGAGGCTAAAAAAACAGGTTAGAGAAGAGCTGTTCTGGAGCTTGCCATAAAATAAACCAGATTTGGTTGACAAATATAGAGGAGAACATACAGTTGAGTCAAAGTTTTTCAAAAAAGCCACATTATTTACTAAATGAGACTTTAGTTAATAATGTCTAAATTGGCAGTTTGTTTCTCCCTCCCATAGACCCATCTCTGCTAGAGTCAATGTGTTTTTAACATTAACAAATAATACATTAGCAATTAATTATTCATTACCATAATGAATATTAAGCAAGTCATTAGCCTATGTTTGCAGAATTCATTCTGCTGTGGGAGTGTTTAGTCTGAAATAGGAAGGGCAACAGTTAAAGTGCCACAATGTCTTTGTGTTGAAATCCAAATTCAGAATCCTTTCAAATTGATTTCAAATCACATGGTCATCTGTTGTGAGAGTTTCTAGAGTCAAATAGAGTTTAAAAGGGACCTGGATAGCTTTACAGACAAAGGCAGTAATACCAAAGCCAGTCTGTAAGCTCATGTTCAATATTACACAGTTGATCAAGTCTGTTGTGGGGAGAAGGGTTTGATTTGCTCTCCTCAGAAGCATTAACTAACCAGCTGCTGCCGAAGGCAGGTTATTGAACTTGAAGGCTAACAAATGGAGTTCTTTACAGAGAGTTCCATCTCTGAGTTCATCACCCAGCTGCCATTTTCTATTGTTCTCAGTGGAAATGTAGATACAAAGATATCATCTGCAAAATGGATGCTCCCTCCTGTTGTTCCCAATGAGGGTGAAGCCAAGCTGCCATCATGGAAGCTAGGTAGGCCCCATTCCAATGGAGAACAATGGGCGATGGCAGGAAGTGTGAAAGAAGGCAGTGATGTGTGTGGAATTCTCTGTAAAACCTGCTGCTAATCCAACTCTACTGAAAAATGAACAATCTGTTATGAAGAATATTGGGGAGGGGATCATTAAGCCTAAAAAAAGGTCTTCGACTACGGCAAATGCTTAATGAGTCTGCACAGTATGGAGAGGCTGATAAGTCTGTGTTAAAATCATTTGGGAGACAGTAGGAAGAAATGGTCTGACAGGTGCTAAGTACCTTTAAGGGCACATTTTAAATAAAATTAAAATGCTCTACTTGTAAATACTCAGAAAACTCATCCTCTACTTAAAGGAAAAATGCTATAATTAGGGGGAGGATACATTGTATTCTTCATATGTAAGCATGGCAGAATCCCTGCCTTACATGCAAAACTCAGCAATGGAACCAGGACTTGTACTTCCATCATGGAATAGTTTGGCCAGTGGCTCACTTTGAATAGTTATGTCATGATAAATAATATGAATGATTGGATATAGAATAATCCTAAAAGAATGAAAAAAGCAAAAACATGATGCACAACCCCTTTGGGGTATCTTGTGCTTACCATACATTTCAAAACTAGATGGGTAAAGAAAGACCTGAGAAATAAAGGGTGAGCTAGCATAAAAGCCAATCGGCCTAATGAACCGAACACATGGTTGGAAACCAGGAATTCCTAAATTCTGTAATCCTGCATCTGCCACTGATGGCATGGCTTTGGAAGAATCATATAGAATGGGATTTTTAAAATCCCATGGGAACAATTGGGTCTTGTATTTGTATGTATAATTAACTGTTTTGTATATTGAAACCTGATAATTGCATATGGAATTGACCACTGACATGAAACTAGCCAGTTATGCACACAAATTCCTGATTTTATGCAGTCTTAATACATTGCAAAGTAGCATTGCACAATTAAATGTTTGTGCATATTTTCCATGTACAAAAAAGCAGGCATTTTTAAAAAACAGCCCCCTCATCTCTTTTTAACTAATGTTCCCTGTCCATGAACCTACACTTTTCCCTAGCTCATTACTTATTGCTTATACAGAAGTTAGAAGATGCAGAGCTATATATATGATAAATATTGATATTAAAACCTATATTGCAAAATAAATATGCATAAGCAAGATGCAGCAAGTCCTGCTGCTGTTACCAATTATCTTTCTCCAATTTTAATAGGGGGCCTAACATACCCTGTGTTATGAAGATTCAATGTGCTGAGGCAATGCTGACTGAAGCATCAGTTTGCTTCCAGTTAATAACCTCTATTATGGCCTAACTCCAAACAGTAAGATACTGCCTTCCCTGGTATAAGCAGCAGAGAGAAATTTGCAAGAGTCTTAATATGGAAAACAGTCTCCTGGTGCAGTTTCAGCAGTCTATCAAGTCGTCAGAAAAATCTGCTGCGTAAACTGGTATTTATACAGTGTTGGCCAGGTACAACTGAGATAAAGTGGCATATTCAAAGTCAAGAGAAGCAAATGGAGAGGAGGAGAAGAGGTTGTTTGCATTGTAGCCATTATATCTACATGCACTTATTTCACCAGTTTTAGTGTATTAGAATGTGCTAAGTTTCAGCTGATAAGCTGTGTTCACTGTATGACTAGGCTTTGTAAACATAGCTAAGTAAGCCTCACAGCATTCTTGCAAGGTTCTTTGTACCCACCACTGAAATGACATTGCTCAACACTACTACACAAGTACAGGGTAGCAAGCAAAGAAGAATAATTTCTCCAATTAATACTACATGGGGAATTCAGATAGGCAGAACAGAATTATCTGCCGTGGAACTTGGCTAGGACACCACGGTGACAGTACCCTTTTGGTAAGAATAGGGATGTAAATGGGCTCCTATGTTCATGGTCTCACTTTTGAAATTTATGCAGAAGACAGGGCCTTCTGACTACACAGTGCTCCTTAATTCACAATTAATTCCCATGGCTATAAGTTCTCCAATACCCTTTCTTTGAATACTCTATCCAAGTACGAAACTCATTTGCACCGGGCTAACTTGTGAGAAATGAAATGATCATTGTGCAAAGTAGTATGGCTAATCGGTTATGGATCATGTAGAAGTTCAGGCAGGTTGTGGATCACATTCAGGTTCATTGTGATAATTTAAGAAAGTTGTATTTACTGGTCTCTTATGAAACTGCTTTTTACAAGAACCTCATGGGGTTTCATCCAGAGTTTATTTTTTTTAAAGCTAATGGGCAAAATAGAGGTCTGGTGTAATTCCCATGTAATCCATTCAGTGGAGCTGTGTATGATTATGCCAGGGCTGAATTTAGTCTGGCACTTTTACTTGCACAGATCGCGTGTGTGATCTTTTACCATATATGGGAAAAAGCAGCTAGCCACTTTCCAAATAGGGAGCAAAAAGTTGACTTTGTCTCTACCCTTCAGAGTGCCATTGGGTACTCTCCATCTAGGGCTTTTATTTGGAGTAGAGCAGGGACCCTATGTGGTTTCAGTTTCATATCCAAGTAATATCTAACTGAATTCTGCAAATTCATCTGACCCCTCCTTGTCACATTATTTACTTTTGCATTCATTCTGGCAAAGGCTGTAACATACCATTTCCACACATAGTGCACAGTAGTTGAGTTGTTCTGATTTGATGTAAATTGTTCTGAGGGGTTTCTCTTTAGAGCACTTGTCACAAGGACCAAACACAATTGCCAAAAAGGTCTGGTCACACATCTTTGCTGAGGGAGAGACCTGAAAGAGACAGAGGAGAAAGGGGGAGTGCATGACAGTGAGATGACAAACCTTTCCTGTACTCTCTCAGTAGCTAATGGATCTTAGACAATATATAGACAGCTGTAGGCTGGATAAGCTCTCAGCAGCTTATCTCAAAAGCTTGATAAATCATCACTTGCACATGCCCTGTGGGTGATATATTTATGAGGAAACAGACAGGAGCATCCTTCTGTCATAGTGCATGGAATGTTTTTCTATTGCAATGTCTTATTCTGGGTTTTGGCTTAGATAATGGCAACAGAACCATCATAATCAAATGACACGTAACAACGGATTAAGCTTCAGAAGGACTCCGCATTTACAAAAATTGTTTTTCCACCATATATTTTAAGCTGTCTGTCCTGTTCATAACCATTTTAAAAACTGAAGGGAAGGTTCAGAATGCACTCGGTAGCTATAAAAAACCCCATTAATAGCAAGATGGTTTACACAGAAATTGGCATTTCAGGATGCTGGAAAATATTGAATCTATTTTTTGTTCATGAGCCAGAGTCACTGCTGTTACTGAAGTTTAAAGACCTTTCCCCATTTTCAACAAGTAAAAAATTACAGCTTTCAAGGAAGGAAAATGAGATATACCTAGCACATTCTTATGCAAAATAAGGGACAAAGAAAATGTTAGGCAAGTTAAAAAAAAAAAAAAAAAAGAGCCCTGATTCAGTATTGTGAACTAATAAAAAATGTTACACAGATGTGACACAATGAGATTAGTGTTGATTATTTTTTAAAGCTAGATTGAACCTCTCTAGTCCAGGACTCTCTGGTCTGGCAACATTAATGGATTATCATGATTTTAGTTAGTCAGATGTCCACTTATCATGGGTGTGGTCAAGTTTCCCATAAAATTTCTTTACAGTCACCAGTGTTCTGTGCTGTTATTTAGCTCTAATTTACCCCTAAATATCTTCTAAGAGCCCACTAAGCAGTGGAAGCATTGGTAATGCTGCAAGACAATATTGACCTCACATAGTTCAGCAAATGCTCTGGGTTGGCACCAGTCAGGTCCCAAGAGTGCCAGACTAGAGAGGTTCAATCTGTATTTTACAAGGGCCAGAAAGAAATATGACCAAGAAAGTGAACTTATGTTTTGCTAGTTGTTTCATTTTGCATTTAAAATCCCTCTCTCTTATATTTAGGGCTTGATCTTGCCACACATGCTCAGATTGAGACACACTTTCCTCCTGAAGCAGATCCATTTATTTCAGTGGGTCTACCTAAGGAGTGAGATGTTAATACCCAGTGGGTGAAAACCTAGCCCCACTGTAGTCCATCAGAGTTTTGCCATTGACTTCATTGGGGCTGGGATATCCCTGGGGAGGTATCGCAGAAAAAATTCTGCCACGTCCAGGGAACATGTTTGCTCTTCCGCTTTTTTTTTTTGCGGAAGAGCAGAGGCGCTCCTTTGGAAGTCCTGTCTTCTTTGTTCCATGAGGAAGAAGGGATCTTCCAAAAGAGGGTTTTTTTCTGAAATTTGGGCCACTGTAGATGGGCCAAATTTCAGAAAATCCTCTCAAATAAAAAAAAGCGGAAAAAGGTACGCAAATTGCGGAGTGCATTTTGTATACCTTTTTCCGAAAAAGAGTTGTAGTCTAGACATAGCCTTAGTATATACAAAAAGAGCAGAACACAGCCCATACATAACTAAGATAAATGATCTTGTAGATTAACTTGGAACCAAATACATTATTTCTCATTTAATGAAAACAGACATAGGTGGCATTAAGGGAGCCTCTTATGCACACAAAAGTCATTTCTCTCATGCAAGTATCCCACTGCCATTAGTGGGACTACTCAACCCCATGGTGATTGTACTACGCATTATACCAGAGAACAAAGGACTCTGGCAATAATGTTTAAACATGGGTGCTTAGAGATGGACCTTTACACCAAAGTGTTCTGTTATTCAAGGGTGCTGAGCATCAGCCGTCCCAGCTGATGACAATGGGTGCCATTGTTGCTAAGCATCTCTGACAATTGGGCCACTTTGGGATAGGTGCCTGTACATAGATTTAGCTTCTTAAATGTTGGCACCAGTGTTCCCTGTAAGCTGTGCAGTTAGATGGCCACCCAGGAGAGAGTCAAAGACTGCCAAGCAGTTTAGCAGAGCACCTACAGCTGTCAGTATGTATTTCTATTGGTGGTGCTCATCTGCATACGAAAAGCAAAATGTATTCTGCACATCAATGGAAAAAATGAGAGGGAACATTGGTTGGTACCCAGGTTTGAAAGTTGTGTCAGCTTTTGATAGAAAAGCTTCTCTTCAGTAATAGTTTCAGGGGGTAGCCGAGTTTGTTGTTTTTTGCGTAACAGACTAATGGTCTGGTAGCACTTTATAGACTAACAAAACATGTAGATGGTATCATGAGCTTTCGTGGACACAGCCCACCACGAAAGCTCATAATACCCTCTACATGTTTTGTTAGTCTATAAAGTGCTACCAGGCCATTTGTTGTTTTTTTCAGGAATAGTGTCACGCAAAAGTATTTTAATATGCTAGCCAGAAAGGCTGAACAAAATAAAACCACTGGTGTTATAAAGACATATTTATTACATGCACCTGATAAAGTTTAATGAAGCAAAAAGTTTTGAACATAATGGGCATCATTAATCATAAATTCAAGGGGGTTATGCATCAAGGGTGCATCAGGCAGGTCCAATGTCAATGTTACTTCAGCTATTCCACAATAAATGGTATTTATAATACATGGATGGGAAAAGCGAATAAAATTTCCAGTTAATTAAGAATTACTATCAGGTATTAGTATTAGTACCTCATCCGATATTTTAGAGTAGACATTTGGATAAACTAATTTGCAAATTATTTGATTATGGTGATAATTATTTCCCCACTGTTTAAGTAAAGATGGCTGAAAAGATTCCAACTTCAAACATCTTGCTGCACCACAGCCTTCAAATTTTCAGACTTATTACATCATCAAACATTTATGGCAGGCATTTTAAAAGGGTGACCTGGTGAATAATAATGTGGTACCTGCAGAGCAGATATTGTACACGAAATGTTGCAAATGAAGAAACAAAATTACCTACCTTTTCACAGGACAAATACTTGACGCTTCAGAGAGGAGTAAATAAGCTGTGTGTAACTGGAAGTGTAGAAGGGCAACCTTAATACTAATAATCTGCTTACAGGGGTATTAAAGATCAGCTTCTAGTTTCCTACTGTGCTATCTTGGTGTAGCTGCACAATGTTGGTTTACATTCCAAGAGCTAGGTTTTACGCACAAATCTTTGAAGAAAGTTACTCACCCAGCGCAGTAACATCTGTTCTTCAAGATGTGTGTCCCCATGGGTGCTCCACTGAAGATGTCGGGTTCGTCCCGGTGCCGCAAGTTGGAGATTTTTCATTAGCAGTAGCCCAGCCGGACCGTGCATGCGTGCTCGCTGTCTCACGCCATTCGCGCTCTTTTGCGGAGCATGGTCCAGCCCCGCCAGTTCCTCCTAGCCAAAAGCATCTGAAAGACAAGGGTACTAGTTCTGAAGCAGGGAGGAGGGTGGGTCGTGGAGCACCCACAGGGACACACATCTGAAAGAACAGATGTTATTGCACAGGGTGAATAACTCTTTCTTCTTCGTCGAGTAGTGTCCCCGTGGGTGCTCCACTGAAGGTGAGTACATAGCAGTGGTCCAGTGCTAGTGATGTGCTTCTGTTTCAAGGTCTCTGTGCTGTGGATAGGACAGCCTGGGCCACTGCAGAATCTTTTCTTAGCATGTTTGCAAGGGCGTAGTGCTTGGCAAAAGTCAGAGTAGAGGACCAGGTAGCTGCACGGCATATGTCCTGCGGCAGAGAAAGGCTACGGAGGTTGCCATCCCTCTAGCAGAATGGGCCCTTGGTCTGTGTGGTAGCGGTCTATTGCTCAAGGAGTAACATTGCATAATGCAGGATACGATCAGGTTGGAAATGCTCTGTGTGGAGAGCTGTTGGCCTTTTGAACTCTCCACTATAGATAACAGAAGACACTGCGATTTTCAAAAGACGCATGTCCTTACTAGGTAAAAGGCAAGAACTCTTCTGACGTCCAGCGCATGTAAGCGCATCTCTTCCATGGTGGAGTGCAGTTTCGGATAAAAGGTTGGTAGGCTTATAGGTTCATTTATGCGAAAGGTCGAGTTTACCTTTGGAAGAAAGGATGGGTGAACGCGAAGCATTATTCCATGCTCGTTGATTAATGTGTACAGGGGATTAGCAGAAAGTGCTGCTAGCTCACTCACCCGTTGTGCTGAGGTAATGGCAAGCAAGAATGTCACCTTCATAGTGAGTGTGTGGAGATCACATGTTGCAATTGGCTCGAAGGGGGGGCCAGTTAAAGTGTCCAGGACTAGACCTAGGTCCCATGGCTCTGGAGGAGGTGTGTGAGGGGGGTACAGATTTGCGAGACCCTTCAAAAATCTTTTGGTTAGTGGGTGACCGAAAATTGAATCGTCATCAATGGGAGCTCGAAAGGCTGATATTGCCGCCAAGTGAACATTAAGGGAAGATATCTCCAGGCCTTCCGTCTTTAGATGTAGGATATAATCAAATATTTGTTGGATAGGCATAGAAAGAGGGTCGACGCCTCTCGCCGCACACCACGACTGAAATAAACGTCATTTATGAAGATAGATCTTTTGAGTGGTCTGGCGTCTACTGTGTATGAGGATATCCTTTACTGCCTGAGAACAAGTCATTTCAGGACTTTGGAGCCAACTAGGAGCCATGCGGTGAGGTGCAGGCGGTCAATGTGAGGATGGATGACTATACGGTGTTGTTGCGACAGTAAGTTGTATAGATTCGGTAGCTGTCATGGCTGGGACACAGACATTCATGATACTGTGGCAGCCTCGTCTGTTGGGGCCAAGATGGTGCTATCAATATCATTGTGGCCCCATCCATTGCTTTTTTCTCCAATACTCGGGGGATGAGTGGAATCGGGGGAAAAGCATACAGCAAATGGTGATGACCCCAGTTGAGGAGGAAGGCATCCCTTTGAGAAGCTGCACTGATGCCCGCCCTTGAGCAATAGTGGTGACACTTTTTGTTGTACTGCGTGGTGAAGAGGTCTTTACTGGGGTATCCCCAGTGTTCAAAGAGGTTGCGGGCCACGTCGTTGAGCAGTTCCCACTCATGTTGTGGGGGAAAACTCCTGGGCTGTGTCTAGACTGCATCCCTTTCCCGTAAAAGGGATGCAAATTAGACACATCGCAATTGCAAATGAAGCGGGAACTTAAATCCCCCCGCTTTTTGCATAAAAATGGCTGCCGCTTTTTTCCGGCTCGGAGCTTTGCCGGAAATAAGCGCCAGTCTAGACGCGGATCTTTCGGAAAATAAAGTCTTTTCTGAAAGATCCCTTATCCCTTATTTTAAGTGCAAGTGGTATGGCCTCAACTGGTGATGGAATAAACCCCCTGTGTTGTGCAGAGCCTCTATAAGGGGGATGGCACGCAGTCCCTTGATAGACATGTCAAACCTACTGCTGGGCATGTTGTTGATTGGACACTTTGTTGGGCTGCTGGCAATGCTTCTGTGGACATTGTCTGTCTGGGTTGGTCATATGGCCTAAAGCAGGGCGCAGCATAAGAGAACAGTCTCCGCTTATTTTAGGGCATGTATCTCCTGTGTTTACAGTGGCGTGTTCATTCCCAGTGTTCTCAATGTGGTGGGAGAGTCCTTGCCCGAGTGGAATACTTGATCAGTATTTTGGGCAAAAAGCGACTGATGGTCAAAAGATAAGTCCTCTATCTTTGATTATAGGTCTTTTAGGACCAATGAGAGGTGGAGCCAGGAGGCACGGCACATGACCAGCAACGTGGCCGTGGTCCGCGCCACTGTTTGCAATGTTGAGGGCGATCTGTAGCGCTGTATGAGCTGAATCCCCCTGAAACACTGCGTCGTCAGGTGAGGAAGATGACTGGTTGGTGGGGGAATCTAAGCGATGCTGCTTGAGGTCAGGGGGCAGGTTGTCATCCCTCTCCTGTTAGCTAGCAGCCGAGGGCACGTCTCCCATTGGTGTTGGAGGAGCTATACGAGGAGGCGGGTTGTCCTGGGTTGGATGCTGCGGAGATAGGGATCGCCTATGTCTCGGTGATCTAGTTCTAGAGTAGTCTGTGCTATGCGAGTGTGAGCGTTCGCGATGGTAATAAGTGTAGTGTTGCCTGTGATGATATGCACGAGGGGAGTGCCTCAGGGAATACCTGCTTACACTCCTGTAGTGTCGGGAATATTCCAAAGGTGTTGGAGACCTCGGCGATCTTGACCTCTCTATATAATGTGAGGGCAACCAGGAGTGGTAAGAACGATAATACCGTCAAGGTGTTAGAGATCAACATGGTGATCTTAGGTACCGTTCCCAGGAAGAAATGTAGTGTGGAACACATTGTCAGCTTCCAGAGTGATACAAAGCAGGAGAAGGAGGCTCCGGAGAAAAGACAGCCAGCTCCGGACTAGGTGATGGCGTACGGACATGCTTAGCTTTTCGCTGTGCCTTAGTGGGTATTGGAGAGATAAGCGCAGGAGGTGGAGCTGTGCGCTGCAGGTTGGTCGGTGCGGAGACGTCACCCGGTTCCGAACCATCCTGGTGCTCGGATGGTGCTAGTGGCATCGGTAGTGGCGATATCAGTGCCGTTGATGTCACTGGTGCTGCCTGCGCTGCTGGTAGCGGTACTGAGGCCGTTGGCACCGCAGGCGGGTGTTGCGGTGTCATTGGCGCCGATGGCTTCAGTTCAGAGACTACCGGTCTCATGGTAGCATGGGTCCTTGGTGCCATTGCCAACTCTGGTCATGGCGCCACATGCACCGTGGGTGCTGGATCACTAACTATGGCAGGGCTCAGAGCCGATGTGCTACGGCCCTTGCTTGCCTTGCCGCTAACATGACTGGGCTTCAAACCGGAGGTGCCAGGTCTATCTCCTGCACTCACGCTACTGTAAGGTGTGGAACTCCTCTTATCTTGAGACTTGTGCACCACAGGAGTCTCGTCTGCTGGCGACTCTTTGACTGGCGGCTGCAATGCTCTATTGAAAAGAAACATTTGAGCCGCATTTCTCTATCCTGCCTGGCTCGGGTGGTTAACTTAGTCCAATGCATGCACTCCCCGAGGCACTTAATACAGTGAGAATGGCCGGCTGACACAGGCATCGCGTCTCGGCATGTTGCTCACTTTTTGAACCCAGGGGACCCGGGCATGATGGTGTGGTATAGTGTCAGTACCTTGCTGGTTGCTATGCTTGGGCGGTGGGCTGTGGAGGACCCCCACTGGTGATTGTCTGTAAGCACGGCCCAGCAAGAGGGGTCTCAGGACAGTGGCCAAACTGGTTCTACTTGTTAAGGGAAGAGACAGGACAAAGGAAGTGTGTGCTGGGGGAAGGGTCAGTCTTGGGCTGGAACCATGAGGCAGAGAGACTAAGGTTGCTGGGGCTGAGGGCTACAGGTGATAGACGCCTAACCCAAGGGGTCTGAAACATCCTGGCCCCGAATCCTGTAATCACACCACGTCTATGCTGTGCTGTATCCTGAAGAAGCAATAAAACCCCTCTATTCTACTGCTGGCGGGATCTGTTCTTGCTGCTACGGGGGTGCAGGCTCGGGAGGAACCCCGACTGCGTCGTCACAGATGGCAACTGTCTTGTGTCACCAGAAATCTTAAAGTAGTCGCTCTGTCTCCGTCTTCTTTCTTACGTTGGCAAACAATGAACAGGAGAAAAACTTAATATATCTTTTTTTTTTTAACTAGAACAGAACGCTATGAACTATAACTAATAGAAAGGGCTAAACTGGGATGAATAAAGTAATCTTTCTTATTTTTCTTATTCTTCTTATTTTTCCTCAGAACAGAAGAGGAGCTCGTCCAGATTCCATCTGTGGCCGTGGACAGTTAGGAGGAGCTGGAGGGGCCAGATCGCACTCCGCAAAAAAGTGCGAATGGCGCGAGATGGTGAGCACGTATGTGCGGTATGGCTGGGGGACTGCTAACCAAAAATCTCCGACTTGCGGCGCCAGGATGAGCCCGCCACCTTCAGTGGAGCACCCACGGGGACACGACTCAACGAAGAACAAAACTTCCACTGATATCCCTGGGGATTCAGACTAAGGTACAAGGTCAGACTAGGCCCTAGCTTTTTTACACACTGGGTTTTTCCCTCTCTTCTCTTTGTAGTTGCCATTTTTGTAGTTCCCAAATGTTAAAATTAACAAGAACTGATTGTGTGAATGACTGCACTGTATCTTTTCAACCACTGAATTCCAAGCAGATGCCTTGCCAATGTAAATTCTCCATATCTTTTTTTCCCCCTCAAATTTTTAATGAGGATTTAGGAAAGGAGAAGTAGAGGGGGAATGGGAAAGGAGACCAGCTCACTGATACAGGCAGGAGCCAGGAAATTAGAAGGAGCCAAAATGCAAAAAGCATTCCAGAGGACAATGTAAATGTGTAACTACATATAGTAAGCTTGTAAATGCTTGAAACTCTATCCACTGAAGCCAATGGAAGTATTGCCATTCATGCCAACAGAGTCCCTAAGCGTAGAGTATTATTTTCCACCACAAGGCTATTTTTCTACTTCTCTCCTATTCCTATATACTAGACATTTTCTCTGAAAAATAAATCAACATTTTCTTCTTGATGTACATACTGTCAGCTGTTTTTTCCACTAATTCTCTCCTTCACTATTTCTCCCTCACTTTGGGAGAAATAGTTCAATACTAAATTGCCACATTTCCTCTCTATATAGTGACCGAATGCTTTTCACCTATAGATGTATGCATCTTGAATAGCATATCTGCTATGTGAATATAAGAGTAGGATAAGATTTTACACAGGCAGAAGTTGATATAAGATATGTATACAGCTCCAGATGCTCTTTGATATAATAAAAGTACCTAAGTTACAGCAACCAAACTAATTTGTTCCTGTAATAATATTTATTATAGAAATGACTTGACTTAACCAGGGACACCATGAATTTCAGATACTGAAATTCTATGCTGCAGTCAGTGATTGATGTACCATACAAATGGAGACTTAATAGTTAATGCATGACCTACCGTATCCACCCAGCCTTACAATTTCAAGAGACTTCTTTGAAACATTTTAGCATTAAAACATAAAATAACTTTATTACAAAACGTAAGTGATTTTAAAGTAATGTCAGAGATATTTAACATGTTGAAAATGTTATGCTACCTATGTGCTTAGGATATTATGCATACTACTTTAATGCTATTAAAATATATATATACCATTCTTTCTCTATGTGCTTTTCATATATCACTATCCATATTAGTAAATATCAAAGCTGATTCCATGTTTAAATTCATATATGCAGTTGTGCAAAATTAACGAAGTGCAGAAATGCTACAGCAAAACATTACAAAAATGTTTAAATTAATTAAATTAAGTCAAAATCTACTTAAATATATCAATGCAATTAAAATTGGTCCTTGACCATTTATTCATTTCTATGACTTAGCTCTAATACACTGATTAGTAAAACATCATTATCTGTCTAGGTTTCCAGGGTGTCTGAATACCACTAGTCAATAATTTTTACAGGATACGTTGTTAAATAAATTATTATTACGTATTATTTGTAGTGTGCTGACTGTGGGTGTGATGCAGCATAGAGCATAGAAACATGGTCCCTGCCCCAAAGGAGCATACAGTCTAAATGAAATAAATATGAACAAATACTAAGAAATCACATTGCATCTGTGAACACAGACATTCCAGGGTAGCTGTATTCAGTCACTACTTTCAGAGTAGTAGGTACATGCGCAAGGAGCTGGCTAGGAGACTAGTAGTACAGCTGCTAGCATCACCCTTTTGCATACTTCTGGCTATCCAGCTTCCCTGTAAGGCCTGACCTTTGTCTGAGTCTGGAACTGAGGAGGAAGATTCATTCCCCCTCCCCCCACCAACCTAGATCCTCTTTAGTGGCTTCCTCCTCACCTCAGCCTATGTCACCCTTTTCTCTTGGAGAAAGTTTAAAAAGGAAATACCTCTGCCCCCACCTTCACCTCTCTTCTCAAATTTGCACAAATGCTTTGCAAGTCACCTTAGAGCCATTGCCGCAAGTACCCACTGACTTACCACCCATGGTGAACACAACCCTCTGCAATAAGTGTTAGCAGGACTGGGTCTAGAGACGTGAAAGGTTAACTGGGTATTGCTCCACTCTTCTGTGGGCACAAAACAGACAACTGTATTGTTGGTGGTGTTTGTTGTTAAACAGGCAGACTTCACAGGTGGAAAAATGCCACAAGAAATATAACTGGGTGAAAACTGATGCAAAATAAATCCAACATTTCAAGCCAGAGAGAAGGACTCCTAGGGAAAACATCTCACATGTGAGAGAAAACAGCACCATGACAGATTATAACATAGTAGTTACAATGGCAAAACAGATTGAGCATGTTGTTCCCCAACTGCTGATTTATCAATGAACATGGAGCACCAATACAAATTTGTTTCAAATATAGGCTTCTTCGTAGGGTTCCAAAAATATAGGTGTGTAGTTGCTGGATATGGTATGCCCTTTGTAAAAATGCAATGAAGAATGAACAATACTAAGAAAAGGAAGGCGGGATTTGTAGGCTGGCATATGCTTTCTACCTACTACTGAGGTCCTGATTCCAGAGTAGTTTTTAAAAGTATATTCCACAGCGAGCTGCTGCATTATATCCCCATTGTGGGAAAATGAGCCATAAGTCATTTAGTCTTTGGAGACAAGTGGCAAATCCTTTTTAATTTTTGTATCACACTCTTGTGAGAAAGCCAAGTTTGAAACTGCTAGGGATTTGTACAATTTCCAAGGCATGTGGGGATGGGGTGTAAGGAAATGTCACTTGAAAGAGATACTTGGTATCTAGCATCAATTGTGGAATATCCTCTCGATTATTGAGCATGGCCTGAAATGAGAAGAAAGAGAGTTTTACTGTCAAGAAGATATAAAGTAGTAAAATCCTAAAATATTTGCTTTCTTGTTAGTCTAATGATGTTTTTTTCTTGCCAGTATAGAAGAGCAGTAACTTTTATCCTGGTTTGAATTCAAAGCCAACTATGAACATTCACCAGTGTAAACAGCGGGTGCATAATACTGTAACTTGAATGTGTGGGTGAAAATAACTTAAGGATCTTACCTGGACTTTACGAACAAATGATGGAGACACTCTTTTCTCAAAATCATCTATAGGAGTGTAGGAATTGAGGATCTTTACTATCTGCATAAATGATAAAAGACTTTTAACAACTGTAAACCACAGGTCTGCCAACAGGGATTCCAGACCCCAAGACAACATATCAATGGGCTCTCTATCCTCCTCCCATGGATGGAGTCATAAGCCACCCCCTTCCCTGCCCAGAGAAACCCTGCGCACCATCCCTCACAGTATCTCCTACTTGGTTGCAGCCCCATCCCCCACCTGTCACCTACCCTCTTTCCTCTCTCTGCCTGCCCCAGCCACTTAAGCCCAATTCTGCCCCCAGCAGTCCTGTGCCCCCCCTTGCTTGCCTTCTTTCTCCCTGCCTACCTCTGCCCTTTTCCCTTCCCAGCCCAGTTCTTCCACCCCCTCAACCCTCGCTACCCACAAACCGTGCTTGGCTATACCCCAGAGTTTGGCCTCCATCTCTTTCCAGCCTGGATCTCCCTTCCTTGCTCATGACACTCACTGCCAGGCTGGCTCCTCCCTCTGACTTTGCCTTCCCAATGCAGCTGGGGAGCTGCTGTCCTGGTTTGCCCTCTGGTCACCCAGGACTCCTCTTGCCCCAGTGCTGTCTGGTGGGGTGTCCCACTGGCCCAGTAGAGCTGCTCTGCAGTCCACGGCAGGTGCTAGAACTCGGGCCTGCCTGGGGAATGTAAAAGGGCCTACGTCTCCCAGCTGCTGCTACTGTGGCAGCAGCCAGAGTACCGTGGGCCCCTTTAGATTGTTCAGGCCCCTACGTAATTTTCCCCTTTATCCCCCTTATCAGCAGGCCTGGAAACCCATGCCAGAAAAAAGGAACAGTTTGAAAGGAAGAGATATTAAAATTATGCTCCCATCATTATCTGAGGGCACAGCAAGTACTCTAAAAAGGTAGATTATTAACTGGCAAACTAGTGAGTGATAATTACCCAGGCTCATCCCAGGAGAAGGGTACAGTGGATAGATAGTGGAAATGGTTGAATGGATTAAAGGAAGCCAATTAAAAACAAGTTTTGTGAACAAAGAAAATGATACTAGGGAACTGAGAAGAGGCAGGTTTGGAGCAGGACCTAGATGGAACAAGGCAGATGGGCATCCAAGTAAGAAGAATAGAGATACAAAGAAAGGAATCAGAGAATCAAACCCTAACCCCAGGAAGACCTGACTTGGAATATTGGCCAGGGAGTTGCAGCTATCAAAGCAGGATGCTGATCACTCCGTCTGTACTTAAGATTATTTCACACACGAGTGGTAAGATACTTCAATTGGTGCTGCCGACAGCCAACGACAAGGTTTGCTACCTGCACTGCAGACAGGGATGTGCAGCGTTCATATATCTCCTTGGCATCATCATCTGTGATCTTTTTGACCTGAAGGAGCCAAGCTGCCTGAGAGAGAGGCTCCAAAGTTTCCTTGGCAGAACTGCTCTGTAGGTTCTTTTCTTTAAGCCATTCCTCTAAGTAGCTGATGTTACATCTGGGGTTAAACCATAAATAAGCATGGAAAGGTCAGTTCCCCCTTACAAACTAATAAGAATAAAGTAATCAGCAAATGAATGCCATTAAAGAAACATTTTGATGGTTTAAAATTCATATACAGTAGGCAAATAATATCTTCAGAAACACTCACCTTTGATTATTAAAACTGACAATTAAAAAAAAATCTCATTTCCCTTAACCTGTTCATAGTTTGTATTTCACAAACTTTGGACAATGCCAGTTTCCTTGTTGTTTATATAAAGGTCCTAATCAGTTTAATACATTAGTAAGATGTGACAGCATTGCATGGGATTGTGTTAAAATACAGCTGTTCCTTTAAAAACACACTTTCATGGCATCATCAAAAGAGCCAGGAGATTATAGCAATTTTTGCACATACCCAACCTGGGCCAGATTCTCATAATTGATGATCTATAGGTGAAAGCCCATCTCTCCCATTACTACTTCCCTGGATGATTTGAGGCCCGTGAGCTTTATCTATTGATTTTCTTTCAGCTCTGTCTCCAGTCTGTCTAATAGGATATAACTGAACTGCATATTTTTTGCAATGATTTAGGAGCATATTCTCCTCATGATTCACATAAGGGCAAAAAGAAGAGGAGAGCTCAGCCAACCCACTTCTGATTTTGCCCCTTGTCTCATCATTAAGGGTGGGAAGTACAATTCAGTTCTTCCCTCTTTGCCAGTCAGGGACTGTTGTATCTGCTCTTCACAGTAAAAAAAACCCCTATAATATGCCTCTATGTGTAAATTAAGATGGCAAAATCCATAGATGTGTTGCAGGCTAACAGGGTAAATTGCTCCAGAATTGGGCTTCTGAGTTTCTTTGCCCCTCCAGCCTGTACTGTGCATCCCTCTATTAACGTTACATGTCAAGTATGCTTATAATAATCACTGTATCATGGAGTGTGCTAGGATCAGCAAACCAATTCACAGAAAAGTTAAAATCTACCTTTTCAAACCAGAGGGACAAAAATAATCACCACTGAATGTTCACTTGTGTATTAAATGGCACAAGTGATAGAACTACAGTCTGTTAAAAAATCCTCTCTCTCAAACAAATGCTTGCTGAATCTTTATTGGCTTTACCTTATCTGCATTCCTTTCCTACAAGAGCACATGTCCTTGCGGAGGAAAAGACTATTAAGGGTGACAGCGCCAATCAGATAGAAAAGCTGTTTCACTGCCTGCTTTAGAAGCTCTGTGTCCAAGCCATTCTGGCACATTGTGCTATAAAAATAGCTGAGTTGTTGCAGGATGGAGGTCATTGTGTAGGTATCTGTGTCATCTATACTAGAAGAACGTTTACGGAATCCAGTAGGTTTCAAGCCAGAAATTCCTTGGAGACTTTCATATTCAAGCATGCCTGGTACTGAAAAGGCAACAGGAAATCATTTGTCACACCAACAACATGCAAGGTCCTTTTAATCATGGTAATTTGGTTCTAGGAACAAATCATATTTTCAAGATGCATAGTTTAAAGTTTTAAAGGTATAATGTAAATATAGCCTTAGTGTGAGGTAATTTTGGAAAACTAAATGTGTACATTGCAAGAGCATGATTTTAAAACAAAATGAATTCTTGCGCTGTGATGGATAGGAGGAGTGCTGGCCAGCACCTGGTGACTAAGTGGTTAAACTCAGGTAGCTAGCAAGGGTATTGGCAGGGGGCAAGAACCACCAATGTGGATACAGTGCTGAAATTTAAATTGTATACAGATACCTGGTCTGCTCTTCCTTTTGGGGGATTTCTAAGAAAAGGGCTGGAGAGAGTAGATGCAGGGATCAGAATTACCACGCCTATAAGAATTCTTGGACATTGGAGTGATCTGGACCTTGAAGTGTACAGATCAGCATGTATCATGAGTAGAGGGAAAAGTGATTCTAGTTGTGATCAGGGTATTTTTCTTTATTTTGGTTGTTTGGTTTAAACTTTTCTGTGTGAATCCATGCCTTCCTTCCCCCATTTACTATCTAAGAATTGTTCCCAGAGATTTTCTCTGTGTTTTAGTTTGTTTTACTTAGTTGCTTTGTACACCTAGCAACCAAGTATGCTTTATCAAGTACAGTGAAACCTTTGTTCTCTGGTACTCTGTTAACCAAAAAACTTTGTTACCCAGCATTGCCCCCAGCCACAATACTGTCACATCTTCAGGAGCACAGGCCTGGCTTGGTTTACCATGACTGGCTTAACATTTTTTTAGGTCAGAAGTATTAATCATCTTTAACTTAAAATAGAAATGTGAGACCAACTACCTCACACTACAAAACTACCAATATTAAAAACTTGAGTTTTACTATTATTGTCCATTGGTTTTTCCTAGGTTGATGGGGACCCTCAGATAACCAGAATTTTTAGATAACCAGAACGTCCTAATCCCTGAGCACACTGGATAACACAGATTTTACTGTATATCTTTTGTTTGTTAATAAAAATCACTTTTTTGTAAGGTGATGATTTGATTCTTGGGTCTTGGAAAGTAACAGGGGATCTGTGTGTATATCTGCCTGCTTAAGACTGGGCGGCCAGCTATCAGAGACTGCAGCTTGTTTCTCTCTTATTTTTTCAAGCTCTTTTGCGGCAAAATGGTGGCACTTAATGGTGGCAGCTTTTTGGGATGTTTTTTTCTCAGAGTCAGTGCATCTGTGACTCTGGGGAGCTTTTTTTTGTTTTGTTTTTTTAAAGCAGAGCCTATAGAAACAAGGTATTTAAGGTCTTTGTGGACCTCCACCTTCTGCACTCAGAGTGCCAGAGTGGGGAACAGCCCTGACACACGCTATCATGAATAATTGGAAAAACACAAATAAAAAAAACACTGTAAAATGTGTGTGGAAAACCACAATACTGAAATGGAATATGTGTCTGCTTAATAGCTTGCCTTTGGCCTGGCTGGCTAGAAATGGGGTGAGGAAGGGCAGGAAGGAAGTAGAAGCAGAAACAGGTAAGAGAATGTTTCCTCACAGAAACCCCCTTTTAGGAAAATAAAATCAAACAGGGCCCCCTTCAGTTGCTAACCACTCAGCTTATATATGGACACCAGCTGTCCCCCTTTGTGCTTGAGGCCTGTCCCACACAGCAAATGCTGCTGCAAGGGTGAAATCTTCAAACTTCTGTTGACTGTGCAGTCAATATATAGATGTGTACATTCACATGCATATATTCACGCGCGTGTGTGTGTTTGCAGCAGGGTAGTAGTTTGCCTCCAATCTTTTATCTCACAAAGATCTATTCAAATTCCTTAGAAGTTACTAGTTCACTTATTTTCACTGGTTATTTTCTTCCTTCTTACCTATCATTGGCTGAATGTTATTCTCCATTACAAGAATGAATTGGTGATAGATACGAATGGCCAAATCACTAAGAATTTGTCTGTATTCTGAAAGATCAAAGTGCTTCAAACAGTTCATATTCTGACGTGGTGTATTTTGCTTCATGAATTCCTGAAAGACAGTTGTAAATATATCAATATGACAACATTATCAACATTATCATCAATGGAGCTGAACCATGCTACAGATGAACTAAATTAGCGAGTTCTATGTGTATGCTTCCATATTCTCAAAATGAGTCAAATTTGCTGCCATCCTGAGATGCTGCTACTCTCATGGATTTTACTGACACCAATATATACATTTTTCTACTTAGTGGTCATCTGGGGTCTGACTGAAAAAAAAACCCATTGTAAAAGGAAACACTTGCATTGACTTCAGTGGGCTTTGAATCAGGCTAGATCATTTATGTGGAAAACATCAGGGGTTTTTTGCAGGAAAATGGCTCTCATTTAAACTGTAGGCAAGAAAACTTCAAATATGCTTCTTCAACTTTTACTGTTTCAAATGCTCTGAGTTTTGTAGTTTGTAAAAAAAGCCAAGTTTCTGACACAGGTTGAATCTCTGTGGTCTGGGACTCTCTGATCCAGCAATATCCATGGTCTGGCAGGACCACGGATGTTACTGAACCAGAGAGCCCAGGAGCCCCGCAGCAGGCAGGGAGCCAGGAGCCCAGTGTTCCAGGGCTAGATGCAGAGAAGCGGCTCCAGAGGAGTGGAGCCTCAGAGCTTTGGTGATCCTGGCAGCCCTGGAGTAGGAGGGGAGCCAGACTGGCCAGGTGGGGAGCTCGGCGAGGTCTGCTGATGGACCCCAGGAGAGCCTGCTCCATCAGCAGAAGGGCCGGAGTTGACCTCCCCGGTCCGAGAAAATCCCCTGTTTAAGACCAGTCAGGTCCTGAGGGTGCCGGACCTGCGAGGTTCAACCTGTATAAACATTATTATGGCAGAGTTTTCAGCATCTCAAATATAGGATAAATAATAGGTTACAACTAATGACAGACAACATCATCAGTTCAAGATTTTAAAACCTGACCCAAAGTCCCACTTCTGAGTTTTTATATCTGTAATGAGATGAGAAAGCCAGGATTAAAATGTTCTTAAAACTGGGGGTTTTGAAATACAGATTGGAATGCAAATGCTTTCAAAGTTTGGAATGATCAGACTTGCATTTGGTTCATTACCGAGATGGATTAAAACTGCACATTTGGATCCAAACACTCCTCCAATTCCGTAGTTAAATTGCACTACCATTGCCTTGCAATGCCTTACTTCAATACAAGGTTTTTCTGATCAAACTTTGCTATTCTCTCTATAACCACCAGGGAGAGCACTGGAACTTGCAGAGCACACACACAAGAAAAAAGCTTACAAGAAGAGCTTACAGTTGGGGTTGAGTAAAAGATTTTTCTCTCTGTAGGAACTCACGTGAATACTGTATTTTAGTTTCAGGCCATATGGGTTTCTATCCCCCACTCATCAAATATCACTTTGGGTTTGGAGTTTAAAGAATCCAAAACTGGCAATGAAATTCAGCTTCATCTGGTTCAAGAGAAAACTGACTAGTTTATTACCATATGTCTGCTCTCATTTGGAATTGTAATCTTACTTATTAATCAAAAGGGTAACAATGTCTGTCTGAAGCAGTCACAACTGAGTGAAAGAAAAGGTGAAAGTTATTTTAAAATACAACTACACAACTAATTGAGTGCCGGAGGTCCTGTTCAAATTAGCAAATGGCACCCAAGGTATGTAACTGTTTCTTCATTCTGTTAAAATTAGTCTTTACTGTTAGTGTTTCATCTTCCTAAGCTCTTTTGGAAAAGCTGTTCTAGTCCACTGGATCACTTCTATAAGCCAAATATCACCTCTGCAGAAGGATATGAATTTCAAATACATCCAAAAAAATCAGTGATGAATCCTATGACACCTTAAAGACAAACAGCTTCATTTGGGCATAAGCTTTTGTAGGCAAAGACCCGCTTTGTTACATGCATGTGACAAATGGGTCTTTGCCCATTAAAGCTTATGTTCAAATAAATCTGTTATTCTTTAAGTTGCACCAGGTCTCGTTGTTGTTTTTGCAGAAACAGATTAACATGGCTACCCCTCTGACACTAAGTACACTCAAATTTCAGGCCCTTACAGTGAGATGGTCCCATCTGATAAACCTTGCTCCATTTGGTTACAAAATAAAATGTAAAGTGATTAAATGATTCCTACCTCTTCTCCGCTGTACTGTTTCAGACAGTTAAGAAAATTATATGTATTGGAAAGCCAAAAGGACAACATCTCAAAATCTTCAGCATGTTCCTAAACAACAACATATAAAACAAACTTTTTAAACAACATGACCTACTTCAAGTTTAATTTTATTGTTGAAACTTTTGGCCACTAGAAAATGAACACAGTAGCATCAAGCTACAGATAAAAGAGATAATAGTATCTGCAAAGCACTATCTATACAAAGTTTGCTCATGTCTACAGTGGTCTTAAAAGCTATCTGTATACAGTCGTTAAAAGGAGTTGTGCCATGAGTTGGCTAGACAGTGTGTGGAGGGGCTCCAAAAATAGTGCTGCAGCTTATTGGAGGTCTTTCTGCAACAGGACTGAACATTGTAGACATACACACCTGAAATTAAATTCTATGTAAGTACTGCTTTGAAATTCAGCTGTTAGGCCTATGTGAGTTTCAACCGTGTTTAAACATGGCTCTTGTAAAGTACTAACATGTTTTCCTTTCCCAGAGCTGAATTGGGATATAAGTTTGTTTACAAACCTGAGTTGTAGGTTCTGTCTACATTGCAAGTTAAACTCCCTATAACATGTTTCACTTCAACCTGTGCCACCAAAAAGAACTGTGCATTTTGCTCTACTGCGTCACTCAGTCAAAACCTAATATCCAGGTACTGCCATAGTGAAGGGGGCAGATGGGACTACGGACAGTGAAGATGGGACTGCAGACAGTGCAGGTGGGACCACAGACAGAGGTTTTGCATAGCTTGGTTTAGTAAGCTGGTTTACAACATGGTTTCCTAGGGTTTAGATCTCAATGATCTCAGAGATGCTCAATGACTTCTTTGTTTCGGTCTTCACCGAGAAGTCTGGAGGTGTGCCTAACATAGTGAATACAAGCAGAGAGAGGGTAAGTTTAGAAGATAGGATACACAAAGAACAAGTTAAAAATCACTTAGGAAAGTTAGATGTCAGCAAGTCACCAGGTCCTGATGAAATGCATCCCAGGATACTCAAGGAGCTGATAGAGGAGGTACCTGAGCCTTTAGCTATGATCTTTGAAAAATCATGGAAGACAGGGGAGATTCCAGAAGACTGGAAAAGGGCAAATATTGTGCCCATCTATAAAAAGGGGAATAAGAACAACCCAGGAAACTACAGACCGGTCAGTTTAACATCTGTCCCAGGGAAGATAATGGAGCAGGTAATTAAGGAAATCATATGCAAACACTTGGAAGGTAATAAAGTGATAGGGAATAGCCAGCATGGGTTTGTGAAGAACAAGTCATGCCAAACTAATCTGATAGCTTTCTTTGATAAGATAACGAGCCTTGTGGATAAGGGAGAAGCGGTGGATGTCATATACCTAGACTTTAGTAAGGCATTTGATACGGTCTCGCATGATATTCTTATTGATAAACTAGGCAAATATAACTTAGATAGGGCCACGATAAGGTGGGTGCATAATTGGCTGGATAACCGTAGTCAGAGAGTTGTTGTTAACGGTGCTAAATCCTGCTGGAAAGGGATAACAAGTGGAGTTCCGCAAGGGTCTGTTTTGGGACCCGTACTGTTCAATATCTTCATCAATGATGTAGATATTGGGATAGAGAGTACGCTTATTAAGTTTGCAGATGATACCAAACTGGGTGGGGTTGCAACTTCTTTGGAGGATAGGGACATAATTCAAAATGACCTTAGCAAGTTAGAGAAATGGTCAGAGGTAAACAGGATGAGGTTTAATAAAGAGAAATGCAAAGTGCTCCACTTAGGAAGGAACAATCAGTTCCATACATACAAGATGGGAAGCGACTGTCTAGGAAGGAGCATGGCAGAAAGGGATCTAGGGGTCATAGTGGACCACAAGTTGAATATGAGTCAACAGTGTGATGCTGTTGCAAAAAAAGCAAATATGATTCTAGGTTGTATCAACAGGTGTGTTGTAAGCAAAACTCGTGAAGTCATTCTGCCGCTCTACTCTGCACTAGTTAGGCCTCAGCTGGAGTACTGTGTCCAGTTCTGGGCGCCACATTTCAAGAAAGATGTGGAGAAATTGGAAAGGGTACAGAGAAGAGCAACAAGAATGATTAAAGGTTTAGAGAACATGACCTATGAAGCCAGGCTTCATGAACTGGGCTTGTTTAGTTTGGAAAAAAGAAGATTAAGGGGGGACATGATAGCGGTTTTCAAATATCTAAAAGGGTGTCACAAGGAGGAAGGAGAAAATTTGTTCCTCTTGGTTTCTGAGGACAGGACAAGGAGTAATGGGCTTAAAGTGCAGCAGGGGAGGTTTAGATTGGACATTAGGAAAAAATTCCTAACTGTCAGGGTGGTCAAATATTGGAATAAATTGCCAAGGGAGGTGGTGGAATCTCCCTCTCTGGAGATATTTAAGAACAGGTTAGATAGACATCTGTCAGGGATGGTGTAGACAGAGCTTGATCCTGCCTTGAGGGCGGGGGGGCCATGCTAGCAAGAACTGTGTTTAGGCGTAATTACACTGTTGGAAGCGTAGTAGCAATAGCTCCTTAAATTCCACAGAGTCAGTCTTGGAACAAACACACTCTTTAAACCTCATTTCTGTCCAAAAAGCAGCTCAGTAAAACATGTTTGGCAATACTTCATTCAACAAACTATTCCTATGGCTAAAAATGTAGGAAAACGTAATTAACTATTAACTTTTAGATGTATTGTACTTGAACTTGTTGGGTTTCAATTCTGTAAGCTTCTTGGAAGAGGGCAATCTTTACATAGTACATATCTACTGCACTAGCAGAATAGATCCTTGAACAGGATCTGCAGGCACTACTAAGCAAAGCATTGCCACCATTAGTGATATTCCTAACTCTGGAACATCAGCAGATTACAAATGTAAACTTTTTCCATGTATACTGTGTGCAAGTTGTAAGCCTGTAGGTGCATGTACAATGAAATCAAAGCAAAATATGCAAGAAATAGTCCTACCTTAATAACTTGTTTGATACCATTAATGGTTATACTCATGAAAGATTTCAGCATGCCACCATCATTCAGATAATCTGCATATCTCACACACATGAACAGGATGTGAGCTGGTAGGTCCGGAATCATGTTTACTACCACTCCGCGTGGCTTCAGATCTGAGTGAAGAAGAGATACCAGATATTCACTACACACAGTAGATACAAAGATAGTATCACCATCTACTCTTTCTAACCATGCTCTTGATTAATCAGTTAGTGGATGACTTTTTTTCCCTGTATAATTACTAGAGCTGATCAGGAAACTGCCATCAGAATGATCTCCCGGTGCCAAATTCACCATCTGCAAAATTTATATCTTCTGTCAGAAAATCATTCTCAGGATGGCTCCCTCACTCCCCGGCAGCCCAGGTTTTCAGTCTTCCTGGTAATGCACCAGATGGGTTGCCTCCAAGTGGGGCTTCCTGCCTCACTCTCAGCTCTTCTAAGCCCCAGCTGCTGGGGAGCCAGTGCTCCATAAATTCCCAGCCTCCCACTCTGGGGGAGATGAAGAGCTCTGGGAGCTGGCCAGCTGGGGAGTCAGGGATGCCCAAGGACTACTGACTCTCTGGCACACAGTGAAGAAGGAGAGGCCTGGAGCTGGCTGGAGGGCAGGATGTTTTAGAAAAATTCTATTTCATTCTTTTCAAAATGTCCCTCTCATAGAATGTTAGTTTTTGTTCTGAATCCAAATGGATTTCCCCCAGAAGCAAGAAGTTTTCTTTGGGACAGAAATGTTGGTTCTTGCTCAACTGTAATAATTACAATACAATACATTTCCATTTAACATCCCGTATAAAAATATGTAAAAAACATTGCGCAGATGGGTAGGAAATACAGTAACAATCTTATAAAGTACAGGATATCTAATTTAAGTACAGGTTGACCCTCTTTAATCTCACACTCTTTGGTTCAACTGCCCTTGTCCAACATAATTTTAGTTAGTCAAATGGCCACTTATCGTGGGTGGGCTCATGTTTCTCGTAGTCTGAGAAAATCCCACCAGTCCTGGCTCTCCAGGTGGGATGCTGAACTGCTTTCTCCCCCTTTCTGCGCCCCTCACACTGCCTCAAGCCGGGAGCACAGCTGGGACTGGCTGCAGACCCCTGGGCCAGGGGCAGAGCCCCACAGCTGGTGGCTGAGACTCCAGGTGGCAGCGGGGCCCCCAGGTGCAGGGCCGTGCTGGGTGCAAAGCCTAAGGGTGCTAGATCACCCCCTGCATTCCTACTTCCTGCACCTATGGAGATTCGCTTGCACTGTATTGACCTCCCACAGTTCAGCAAATTCTTTGGTTTGGCACCGTTCAGGTCCTGAGGGTGCTGGACTAGAGAGGTTCAACCTGTAGAAAGGAATGGCATCCGTGATGGAAGAGTCAAGCAGAGGGGGAAAACGCTCTTATTTTAAACCAATAGCAAGGATCTAAGTTTTCCGGTACATTAGCTAAGAGGGGTCAGGGAGAGCACAGAAAAATAGTAGAGTTTAATGTTAATTAGGAGTGAAAGTAAGAAAAAATGGCTTGATGGTGAGATTTAATGAGTGGAAACAACTCAGAGGAAAGGAAGGATTTCCACACAGAAGGAGAAACATAAGTAAAATTGTAACCACTAGTGAAGCGGATGGCAGGGAAAAAGCAAAGAGGAGACTATGACCCAGAGATGTTATGCCTAGATGTTGGGGTGACCAAGTTTCCTTTAAGTGGGCATGCAGCCCTTTTATGAGCAACGAGCAGGCAGCTGATCAGCTGGAGAAGCAGGGAGCACAGCTGATTGGAAAGGGGGGGCACTTGCCCTCTTGGAGGAGCAGAAGCAGCTGCTGCTGCTATAAATGGAGAAGCTGGCTCCAGCCTGTACTCCAGGGCTGGGCAAAAGATGATCTGTGGGCTGGATCCATCCATGAGAGCCCCAGCCAGCTCCCTGCCTGCCCCACCCCCACTCATCACTCAGGAAAGCTGTCTGCAGGGCCATTTGTGTTTCTGAATGTTGAGAGGCTGGAGGGTGCACCACTAGTAGCTCCCATTGGTTGGTTTCGACCAATAGCAGTTGCCTGTTTGCAAGCCAGGCAGCATTTGAAGTGCCCCTCTCTTCTCTCATCCCCAGGGCTCACAGCATTCAGTTTAAAATAATAAACATGGCTCCTGCAGCTCCCTGAGCACGTACAGGGGCTGGAAGGCAGAGATCCTGGCTAAGGAACCTGCTGGGCTTCTGACTTGGATCCAGGTAAGGTCTCCCAGCCAGAACCTATCTGGCACCCCAGCCCCTCCACGCTCTGGCCCCCTTTGCCCTCCTACCCCATGTAACCCAAACCTTCTGCACTCCTGCTCCAGCCTCCATACACCTTCCCAGACACTACATCCCCTCCTGAGGTCACAACTCCCTCTCAGACCTTTCACCCAATCCACTATCCCTGGTCACAGCCCAAATCTCTGCACCTCTTCCTGTACTCCTGCCCCAGGTCACAACCCCCTTCCCAGGCCCTGCATGCCCTCTTCACTCCAGTTCATTGACCCAGGTCACGATCCCTTACCCCAAGCTCCCTTCTGCACCTAACCTCCTTCCCAGATCCCTGCACCTCCTCCATTAATTAATGGAAGAGTGTGGCCCTCAACCATTTACCAAATTCTTGGAGTGGCCACCCCATCAAAAATTATTTCCCGCCCCTGTTTTAATTGCATAAGGTAAGAAAGAAAAAGATTCTTTTAACAGAATTTTTTTGAGTGTTGCAGATATCTAAAACTCCAAGCTTAATAATTTTTTAAAATCCTGTGTTCCTAATTAATACATGGTAAACTGTATTACATTAAGGCCAGATCTTTGCTATCTGGTAGAGTTCTGGCTCTTACGAGTCAGAAGTAGCAAGTAGTAGGTGTGATGCTGGCTGTTTTGTAGAAACCTTATTTGCAAGATCTTTGAAACATGAATCTGTCTGTTAGAAAGGATGGTGATACATGCACACCAAGGTCTCAGAGGGGTAGCCATGTTAATCTGTAACTAAAAAACCTTTAAAAAACAACAATGGTTCTGTAGCACCTTAGACTAACAAAAAATTAAAATAGTATGAGTTTTTGTGGGCACAATCCACTTCTTCAGCCAAGGGGAGTGTTAATTTTTTTTTTATTTGATTTCATATTAAATAATCATAAGCATTGCCCTTTGTTAATTATCCCTTGTTTTAATATATTTTCTTCCACATGTATCAACTATTTAAAATACATATTTATATCTGTTTTTTGTTTGTATTGGTGTGTGCACATCCACACACTATCTCAATATTGGTGTTGCACATAAGAAATTTCAGGTGGCCCAAGGATAGAAAATCTTAGAGGGAACACTTATGGTGTCTGGTGCTAAGTAAATACCATAGACAGATAAGAAGAGCAAGTGGGTAGAAGACTAGATGAGAGACCAAAGAGGAGCAATGACATGGCCAGAGTCATACAGCAAGAACAGTCCAATTGAAACATTCTGAGTTTTGAGAGCAGGGGCTTGTGATTTCAGCAGAGAGGTAGGGACAACTTCTGGCAATGTTCTAGAGACAATGACTTACAGACAAAGTAGGGCTGGAAGTAAAATTAAGATCCTTCTGGAATACTCTTGAGATTTCCAGTTTCACAAGTGAACAAATCAGAAGATAGACAGTGGAGTGAAAGAGATGAGACAAATGAGTTTTCACCAGATAAAGTACTTCTGTCTTTGAAACACTTTGAATCAAGCAGGAATAGAAAGCAATAGGAGGGTGCTCCTAAGAGTAAAGTGAGAGAGAAGGGAGATAATAACAGTTAATAATGAGCACAGCTGAAATTTAAAATCTTGGTTTTTTTTAACATGATACATTGAATATAATTAAATATGGCAGTCATTCAAAGTGTAACTGACGTACCAAGGATCAGATTTTGAATAATTCTTGCTTCATCTTCCTTTCTGTACTCCATCATTCCGATGTACTCTTTAGGCACAGCTGGCACACGTGTATCATTGGCTGTCAAAAGCAAAGGTATGCTTACTTACAGGTTAATATAATGTTAACATGTTAAAACAAACTATGAGAGACATGCAGTTCTTACTGCTAGAAACACATAGTAGCTCCTGTTTACAATAATAATCTCAATTTGTGGCTCTAGTATTATCAGTTAATTCCTGCTCATTTTATTCACATGAGTAGTCTAACTGACTCCTGTGGAACAACTCACACTGAACAAGTGAGCAGGCTCTGACTACCCAACCCAATGAGTCTAAAATGGCTTTTAAAGTGAAAACTAATTCTGAAAAAAAATTGTACACACGTATACACACATTTGTTAGAATGGGCTGAAAAATAAGGGAAACATTTATGAAATTTTTGCTAAAGCTTTCCCATCCAAAGACTGAATTGCACAATCTTTTGACCTCTCTCTCTCTCTCTTTCTCTCATCCACACACCCTGTATTACACATTCAAAACTATTTTAAACTGTAAAAAAAAAGTCCTACCTTTTTCAATAGTCTTGGTAAGAGTCGTGATCTGATCCTGTAGCTTTTTTATTACTCTGTCTTTCATGTCTAACTGTTCTTCAAGATCCTACAATAATCAAATAAAAATGGCCAGTAAATGTATAGCTACCTGACTTTTTTTAGAATATTACTTTGCACTGTATATGTAGTCTTACTAAAAATTACAGTTACATACTGGGCAAAAATCCAGGATTAGCAAGTATCACGCCTGTAAACCTATGCTGCTACCTCCCCAAAAGGCGATAAAAATTAGATTTGGAGCAATGTTGCAAAGATGTGCATCCTTACTGGCACTGATGACAAACCAATCAGACAGCACATGCAGAAATCTGCTTAGTAGTTGGTCTGGCATAGGTAAATATTCATCCGGCTCGCTAACTTAATTTCCCTTTTAGAATATTCATTCCCAATTCTGCAATGAGTTATGTATGAATTTAATATTCAGATTGTGAGCAGTCACCTTGAATACAAGCTTGATCCCACAATTCCCTCTATCCTCAAAAATCAGTGGAGGTTCCAAGCAGAGACTTGAGAAATGGGGTAAAATTGCTCTAATCTCCTAGTACAATATTTAACTGCACTATGCCTTTAAATCTTTTGCTCGATAGGGTTAGACTTTAAGATAGTCGCTGGTGTTGGGGGTTTAGGAAAAGCTGCATTTCAGTGGTAGATTATGGAGCTGTTAATGAAACAAAATATATCTGAGAGAAAACAGAGGAAGCACACACAACAGTGGCATGTGCACTGTCTTCCTCCTGCTGGCCTGTTCCGGGGCAGCAAGGAATAAAGCCATAGGCACATCCTCCTTCAGCTGGGATTTCCACTGCTAATGTTGGCTTTACAGTTCCTCATTCTCTGCATGCCAGAAGTATAAGGACTGACACTCTGCCTAGCCCAGTATGGAGATGCCAGGGAGAGGGGTTATCCTTGAGCAGCCACTCTGGGCTGGAAAATATTTAGCTCTTACTGTGTAATCTCTATTTTTAACTGTTTCAAGGATGAATTAAGAGAATTTCAATCCTCACCATGTTTTCTGCAGTAAGATGAGATGCCTCCTGCTTCATCATGCTCTTTATTTCATTCTCAATTTCATGTTGCTTCTTTAGATGATTGTTTATCTCTTGAATTTCTTGGACTGTGATAATCTGCTTCTCTTCTTCTTTTGTGTGTATTTCAAACTGGTCTTCCAGTCTTCTAGAAACCACAAAAACTTTGTTCTGTTTTTCTTCTTCCCACAAATCACAATATTACTTCAAGATGGGTTACATATTCTATTTTTTCTCAGGTACCAACTGAGTTGGCAGAAGCAATTTCCCACCTTAGCATTATGTCGCCCCAGTAACAAGTAGTACTTGCTAAACAGAATGCCAGTCTCTATAAAAGCGACGAGGAGTCCTGTGACACCTTATAGACTAACTGAAGTGTAGGAGCATAAGCTTTCATGGGCAAAGTCCCTATAAAGTTTTAAGCATCTCTGCGCTCCAGCCTCCAGTATTAAATCCACATTTCTCAAACAAGATTTAAAATACTACTACTACTTACTTCCTTTGACCTTTCTCTGTCTGATTGTTTTGCTCCTGATTAGGCATTTCTTCCATTTTTTCTGTGATGATTAGAAAAAAAATCCAACAACAAAAGAAATACAAAAAAAAACCACCAAACAAACAAACAAACAAACAAACAAACAAACAAACAAACAAACAAATTACTCCCTTCCCAGTTTATTAGCATTTGTTCTAGGCTGGAATTTAGTTAATATTTTCTTACACACTGTTTCCCATTTCCTGTAACAATATTGGATTACAAGGCAAACTCTATCAAAAAAGTACTTTGCTTACATAGTAACTGTTTAGTAATAGGTCCAGTATGCAATGGGGTTGAGTGCCCATAAAAGGCACAGGATCAGACACCAGCTGCTAAGTACTGTGTAATATCAGAGCACTTTACAAGGCACACATCATGTAATTAAATGTTAAATAACAGACTATTTTCCCATTCTGCACAATAGGGAGCAGATTGCATGCTATCGTGACTTTTAGAACTCCTTCAGTAATTACAATTTGGAATAAAGTTTAATCTACAATGAAAACACTGTTGAGGAACTAAGTGTCTATAAACAAAATAAAATAGCAGCAAATCTTTCATTGCTCTGGGCCAAATCCCAAAGGCATGGATTTTCAGATTTTAAAAATCATTTTACAAAAAGCTTTACTCAGTCCAACTTCCAAGTAAATTCAGTGGGAGCTTTGTAAGCAAAAGGAATCTAAGAGTTGGCCCATAGTAATGGCATGAACAACAAGGAGTCTGGTGGCACTTTATAAGATCAACAAATTTATTAGGGTATTAGAGCATAAGCTTTAGTGAGCTACAACTCACTTCCTCAGAGGACAGAGGGAGTTACAGAGGGTGGGATGGAGGAAGAGAGAAAAGGATACAGAGATGAGACAGTGACATCAGTGGTATGGAATGTAAAAAAGAACTT